AAAAAAAAAAAAAAAAAAAAAAAAAGAGAGAGATATTAAATGAATGACAAATAAGGAGAAGTATTAGAAAATAGCGGGCTGAAACTCAATGTTTGGGACATAAAGCTGCGGAGGAGACCATATATATTTCCAATGCAGGGCTGGAGACTCATCAGGTCACTAAAAGAAAAGTATCAGTATTTAAGACACAGAATACCATGCACCATATCCTAGTCACTGAAATAGAAGATCAAATGATAAAGAAAATGAAACCTAGAACTACATATCGACAACTTCAAAACAAACTTGCTATAGCAGACATAAAGATCACCTGAGCCTGCAACTCTCTTGCAGCAAAGTCCAGCAAGCCTCCCAAAATCTTTCTCTTAAAAATGGGTAAAGATTCCTCACGTCTGTAAAACATAGGTCATAGTGTCAGCTTTTTGAAACTCTAGGTAATGCCCCCCCACCCCCAGAAAAAAAAAAAAAGGATGAAGAAAAAAAGCTAAGAATTGAACAGTCAGTCCTGAAGTTTCCATATCAACAAATCATTATGCCTGTCACAATAACATAACATAAAGTTGAAAAAAACTCGTTCACAAGTTTCACCTTTTCGAAGTTAGTAAAAGAACAAATTTTTCGCACTACATTGCCCAACTCATGGATAACTGACCACGAGAGATTCAATAGCAAACAATCTTTTATCCTACATTGATAGTGCTAAAGTGAAATGTCTAAGCAATAGTCGCAATACCTAATCCTTGCGTCTCCAGTGCTTGAACCACCCACCATAGATAGCCATTCTGCACAATGAATTGTAGCTTCAATATCCTGTCACAGTAATGAACAAATACATGAATAAGAATAAGGGATACCTTAGCTCAGCAGAAGCATAATTTAAATTATTCAGCATGTTTCCTACGCACTCATATTATGCATCTTTTATTTCTCTAGCTCACACGTAGCATAGTAATTCCCATATAGTTTAGGAATTTAATAAGAAAATATTGACGTAAAATATAAATATGAAATGTCACCTTCCATCCATCCTTCTGGCGCATTGAATGTTCCAAGATTATAACCAAGAAATTGTGAATAAAGTCTTCTACGTCTCTCAAGCTAGATGGGTTCTTATTTTTAATTGCTCCTGCCTGCATCGTATATTGGACAAAGGCACACTAAAAATAATGCCTCATTGTATAATCATTTCAAGCAGACTGGTGATGCTACCTCATGATTAGATATGAGTATCTCCAAGATCCATTCAGGCCATTCTTCCATTCTTGTCAGGCTGTTTCTATTTTCTGGATGACTGCAGGCCAAAATTAGAAGATCCTGAAATCATATAGAAAGTATTAGAACTCAAAAATAAAACATCAGCCGGGAAAGGGCAAAACAAGAGAATATAGTGGTTAATTGATTTGAATTTTTCCACATAAGCATAAAAATAGTGTAACATCACCAATTACAAATTTTACAGAAAATGAGTTTGTAGAATCCAGAGTAAAATAGTTGTTATAAATGACATAAGTGAGAGGAGGCCAACAAATGATAGAAGGCACGTCTTTCGTTAGAATCAGAACTTGTGAAAATACTGAATTAAGAGCAGACAGGAAGATCAATAAATAGGGTACTTGAACCCAAATAATGCATGCACAGCACAAGCCGAGAAAGAGGACCACCACCAACAGCATACTTTATGGCAATTGTCCAATGATCATTTAAATGCTACTTATCTAAATTGTAATAATTTAAAATGGCAACAATCTCATGAATGTTCACATGTCTCTCTTGATTACAAATACATCTTCCAGTTCCAACTTCCCTCTCCAAGAAACACCAACTCCCTCACAAGAAAAAAGTAGCAGTAGTAGCAGTAGTAGTGGTGGTAGTACAAATATAATTAAAAAAAAAAAGCTAACATCAAAACAAGCATACCAACCAAAGGCCAAAGGGAAAAGGGAATAACACACAAAAAAAAGGAAGTAATCAAAATAGAAGTTCAAAGATATTCAGATGGCTTTACATGCTTTCAAATATAATCGTGGTATAGTTCTGACAACAATACCTGCAGTGCCCGGCTTTGCAATGCAGTTGGTGCATATGGGAGAGATCGAAGAAGAACCAATAAAACATGGAAATGCTCAAAGCGATGACCGGAATCATAGAAGTTCAGTCCATCATCAGCAGAAGACACATTTATCTGAAATGGAAAAGAATCATATTAAAATTATTTTTGCAGCATATTAAAAAGAGAAAGAAAGAAAGCTATATATATATATA